TCCTATTTCAAGAACGAGCGACAATGATCGAATCACCTATATCCAAACTTCCCAGCCTTCGTGTGGAGACACATGATCACTTTTCGTAAAATAAGTCCTGAACACCTCGTATGCTACTCAGTAACGCAATCCCTTTCTACTACCTCACTTCTCCAAAAGTTATCTGTCAAGAAATGGCTCATGATCTTATGAATTAGGTTCTATCTACTGATCGCCAGGATCGAATAAGCTTTTGAGCTCAACGACAGATCGAACTTTTTGCTAAGTACAGCAGCTTGATCCCTGCAACTTCCGTTTCAAGGAAGTTTCATGACGATGAAATACAGATAAGACTAATACTCTGACTGAGAATCTCTATGTTGTGTCATGCATGCCCATTTTTAGTTTAGGCGTCAAATTCGGCTAAGTCCATGACGGCGCTTTCAGAAAGTTCAGTGGTGCTAAAATCGGACATATATAAGGCTGCTCTTTTTGACCCAAATACGCATCCAGTTAAGTCCGCCTTACGGATAAGTCCTTTTCTACATTATGACCTACCAAAAATCTTGTCGGATAAGTCCAACGGCCTTATCTTATAGGACTTATCTCTAGATGGATTTAGCGGAGAGGTCTGATATGTCAGATTAGGGCATTTGTCCCACTAATTGCTGTCACAAAAAAAAGCAGATCTGGGCTTTTGACTTCATCTACTAACTTGCAAATCACACGCTATTTGAAGGAAACATTCGCTTAACCCTTGAAAAACTGAGAGATCCGGTTACCTCAAATAGATTCTCAAGATCAGTGCTTTTGAACAAATCGAGAATTCATTCCAATTCGCCTACGAAATCAATTCTCTTTCTCTTTGCTACCTCTTATTATTAGGCGGTAACTATAAGATAGACCATTTCTGCTGTTGTAGAACTCTGGTGACCACCGTCACCGTGGTCAAAGTAGTTACCGATTCTCAGAAAGAAAGTGTATGTGACGCTTCTGCTTGCTTCAGTGGTTTCCTCACGTCAAGAGCAGGCAAAGAGGTTTGCAATCTTCCTGGAAACAAAGAGCGCTGCAAATGACTGGGATGTGTGGATGACCTCACTTTTTGCGGATTGACTGGTCTATGTCTTCATGACGTCTTGAACTATTCTGTATTCATCACCCCTGTTCATCCATTCTGCCCTTTTTCTTTTCAACAAAAGTTCTGCATCATTTTCTCGAGCAAGAATGACGTTAGAGACCGCATCTCTTGTACTCCTCTGTCCGTAACTCGTTGTCAATCTTCAAACCAAAATTATATTGATTCTCTCTAATAAGAAGGCTAGTCAAACCAATCAGAATCACCATTCGTGAATCATATGTCCACTTTGACTCATTTCTCGAAGTGCATTACCATTTGTGTAAGAAAATGAAAAGTGTATCAGAGTGAATGAAGCCTACTGTGGAAATTCTTCTCATTCTTTCTCATGACTGTTTACTTTCAACAATCAACAGATTTATTTTATGAAATTTATGTATCACAATGACGCGGGTTCTAATCCCATACTACACTAACATCATCACTAGCATCATTGAACTGCACCCATGTTTACTCACAGTCTCTCGTAAATCCAAGCTTATGGAGAAATCTGGATTCTAAGAATAAGCCTCGAAGCTTTGCTAAACATGTTTTTGCCACAAGTGTCTGTTTTAGTTTTTTGCGTCTACATTTCATACGCCGTCAAAGGTGACTCCCATTTGGTCTAGAATTCCTAAATAGAGGCAATTTTTGTTTTCACGTAAGCTTGGATATTTGCATAAAACAAAACGTAATTGATGTTGAAGGAATTAATTTGTTATCTGCGTGTCACACTGATCAGTTCAATTTTTTTCTCCATTAATTCAGCATCGCTGTTTGTTGCGTAATTTTTTGCTTTGATTTTTTCGTACTATCAGAGTGCAGAACATTCTGCCACTGTTATGTTTGCCAAACACCTTCTGAATTGCAAGTTTTTTTCTGAATAGGTGAATGCCCAAAGATCTCATTCACCTCCATTTCGAGCTATTCTGACCGAATCTCGGAGGCAGATACAAATTCTAGATCATACATTATTTATGGCAGCTCATATATCTCTTAACAGTGTGGCAGAAACTTTTTGAAAATGGTTTGGAACTAGGTCCATGTCAACTGCTTGACAACGCGGTAATGAAAATTGACGAATATGGCTCGTTAGTTAAGTTATATAAGTCATCAATCGTTATGGTGCCCTTCAGTCTCCATAAAGCGTTTTTCACGAATGAAAAATGATTTCGACGAAACTTAAATCTGAATGCCGCCTTCTCAATACCCCTTTCTGCATGATCAAGTAAGGTTTCCCGGAATCTTTCGCCAAACTCCAGCTTCCATTTCAACTGCAAGTGTACGAGTATTAATATATAAAAGGAATGCTACTGCATGATTGCGCCAGTCGTAGATTCCGATAATTTCAGTGAATACCTTGAACAGCTTTTCATCTATAACTCAACTATTGCGGTAAAGCCTACATCATGCGCATCTTTCACCTTATTACATTCAGTTTGATTAAAATGTTCAGTCCTCCATGGCGTAAGAATTATCGCGCTCATTGAGAAATCTGGGACTCAAAAATCTCTCATTTATCATCAACTCAAAAAAAAACATATTTGGTTGAGTGCTAGAAGAACCAACATCCCAGGATTTTGCAGTCTTTCTGTTCCGACAGAACATGACAGCGAATTTTACTGGATCTCGTGACAAACAGACATGATACTATCCTGCTGACGTACCATCTGCGTCAGTCGCCAAAGAGCAAAATAACTATGTAAAACACTCGTACTGAAGTCGCTTTCAAAATGCGCTTTCTTCTCCTTCAAGATTACCGTAAAATGTTGACAAATCTCTATCGCATCATCAAGTTATTTTACTAATTAATTCGACAGCGATGTCTTGTATTTTTGGCAGCAGCCGCTTTTTCTAGCAGAAAAGACATTCAAATTAAATCACCAATCCATAGCCTGCCTTTTCTGCATCAATGCTCTACCATAAGGGTCTACACATAACTAGTTTGACTATTTTGAAGCTCAAGTATCGATAATGTCAGGCTAGCCGGAGACTATGCTCGAATCCAATCACATAGTTCCGGTTAATTACAGGTAAAGTGCTGGTATAACACGGACCCTTAGTTCTGCATTGTTTAACAAGATGAGATGAGTTCATTAGCAAGTTCCTTGCAGGGATTCAGCCTTCATGGAATGCTGTGAATTTGGTTCTCTCAGTCTTGTATGCTTGAAAATCCCCGGACATCGCTCTACTCGTCGCAGTGACTTCCATGCCTACGGGCATTAGATATAAAAACCCTTTGTTAGCACTGTTTAGTAACAAAATAAAGTAACCATGTAACTATGCAAAATAAGATAAGACTCAAACTTACAAAGACTATCCAGGGGAATCAAATAAGTACCTGGTTTTATACAACCATGACTGCTCTGATCACTAATAAGTAAGAGGAGGCTAGGAAAAGAGTTAGATAAGGTAGGTTTGACAAACTCAAACTCAAAATGCATTGAATGCTCGGGAGCAGCTTTTTACCCAGTACTATTCATAGTTTTCGTGATGTCGCACAAAATGATGTTGCACAAAATACACGTTAATATGGCACAAATACAGCAACCCTTCAACCTCTCATCAAAATCTTAAGTTTTTTCGAATTATAGAACTGCCCATAGTGCTACCACAAGCAATTAAATCGTACGTATTTGATGCTGCTAGCACTAATTTGCTCAGCTTCAAATCTACCGTATTCATTACGGTAATTCCGCTCATTATATTGCAAGCCTGAACACCTTGTATAAAGGGAGCAAAAAAATAAATTTTAAACTCATTACCTGAGAAAATTGGCGCATGTGAGAATTTTTAGTGTAAATTCGAAAAATTCGAGTTTCAGTGTGAATAGTATTGCTTTATGCTAGAGTCAGGTGGAGTGGTGTAGACTGATGTGTATGGTGACGCTGTAGTTGACGAGCTGGAGATGGTGTAGAGTGGCGCGACTGGTGTGGATTGGTAGTGCTGAGTTGCGGGTTGTAGTTGCTGATGGTGTGAAATGGTGTGGATGGTGGTGCTGCAGCTGTGGTGCTGGAGATGATGTAGGGCGGGACGTGGTGTGAATTGGTATGTCGAGTTGCGTTGTTGAAGTTGCTTATGGTGCGGAATGGCGTGGATGGTGATGCTGAAATGTGGTGCTGCAGTTGATGTGATGGGGGCTGGTTTGGGTATTGCAATAACTGAGGTCTGCCACTTCTTTACCGTCGCTGATGTTTTACCGCTGTTACCGGTGTCACTCAAGCTGAGCCGTCAAAACTTCATTGGACTATTAATAATGTTGATTTATTAGAGTACCAGAAGAAACATCTCCATGAAATTTATTTGAGATTCGCTTGACAGACTTACAATCGAATTACTCAGAAAACTCACAATAATGCAGTTATAACAATCTTGAGTGCAAGTTTCCATGAGAAGTCATCTAAATTTTACATTAAGTAGAAAACGAAGTTATTAGTTCTGCTTTATGAAAATGTGTCCATTCCATCTGCTTTCTTCTAGGATTCCTTTACTGAAACCAATTTTTAAGCAGGTTATCGAGGTACGTAAATTCCAATCTACATAAAGACGGGATTTGTGTCTGCATGTCATTCATGCATGCAAAAGACTATTAATTATGACGTTGAGTCTTATTCGGGGAAGGCACGCATACCACACACTTCCTTGTTTTGTAATACACTCACTTGAGGGATTCCTCATTTGATAAGCCCAACTTCCAGAATGCTCAATTCTTCAGTCTTTCGTCAAGATTTGTATTGCCGTTGAATTCTTCAACTTTTTAGATTTTTTGATTTGGCTTCCGCTTCATACTAAAGTACCTAAATCCTTTCTTGTCTGCATCTCGTTGCCTACTCTTGCGCTATTACCTACCATCTTTATTACTTCCGCACAAAGAGATCTCGTCAAATCGAGCAACAATCAATTTTGCTTCTATTTTTATCTCTGCAGGTAACCTTCATCGTCATGCTGCTGCGATTATGCAGTCTGTGTATGATGCTCGCCACACTTGCAGTATATATGCTCCAATCAGTAGAAGCAAATCTGGCATTGGCAACGAACAGCAGGAAGGCGCTGAATGGTGTGTTTATAATTGGTTCCATACTGAAGAACAGATAATACCATGTACTTGTAGTCTACTAATTTGCGTCGTAAATGAGCTTTACTAGCTGTGCAAGATTTCAAAAGCGGCGTGTGACATAGTACATAACTATAGAATACAAGTTGTACAGGGCGTCCCAAAATAATGTTCTAAGCCTTTAATCTCAGACTTGCTTATATGAAAATCTTTCTCCTTTCTTTGGAGCATATCGTAGAGATTGCTTAGACTTAGGTTTGCAAAATAGAACGAGCTATCGTCGCTCTTCATTACTGTACGATTTAGCTGGGAGCTTTCAGCTTTACAGCTTTACAGCGTCATTGTGCTTGTTCCAAAAGAATTTAGAAAAATCTGATAACGTACCAAAATTTTCACGCGCGCTGATTTCATTTTCTCAACTTTTCACGAGGCAGCTCGGATTAGCCTAATATAGGGATCTTCATTCGTTTTTTTTGAGACAAAATAAGCTCTCCCCGGCTCAAAATTCTCTTCAGGATTTCTACCGTGATCTTTCAGTGATAAAGAGCGATGCTTCGGTCCATACTGTAGATCATCGAACGTTTGCTACATCATTTTGAGACAAATCTGTGTAGCCCGTATATTGCATAAGAAGCGGGATGGAAACACCAAATAGCAACTGTTCCATTTTCTCCAAAATTGGAGGTTGAACAGACCTTCATGTGCTTTCCCGGCGTAGGATCAAGTCAAAAATATAAAAAAATATAATAACCCTGGCAGACAGCAAGTAATATGCTTTTCATTCCTAAAGTAAGATTTTGCAAACAAAACAGAACATGCATTACAGATCCATTCGAATTCGACCTTTACGATGAGCCCACTGAATCCGACGATGCATTTTCCCGCATGGCGACCTTATGCGCACGACTACAGAAGAGACAACCCGGGAGCCGGGACAGGAAAGCGGCCCCGCTGGTATATCGCCTGTGTGACCTACTGAACTGAATTTGTAGAATAGTGCAAAGCTCGGGCAAGCACATCGCCTACGAGTCCACAGCTTGGTCTCCCTCCAGATTCCTTGAGTTTAGTTAGGAATCGTTGATCTCATTCCTCCGACATCTCTGTTTGAAGATATTTGCAGTTGTTACCACTCATTGCTTTTCTCATAAACTATTCGAGTGCGATAAATAAAGTGTGAGTACTTTTAGCCATTCTTCTCCGAATTTCTATGGATACTTGAATAAATGGAATGTATCTGCGGCAGACGGAAGCACTTTGAATCGAATCAGCGTTAAAGTTCAGTTCCAACCTCTAGATATTTCTGTATTGCTACCAACTGATGTGATACGCAGAAAATATAAATGACAGCAGACTGCATAGGAAACAAAAACTTCAAAGTAAAGTTAATTCATTGCAGCATGTTATCTCTATATATATATATATATATATATATATATATATATATATATATATATATATAAAACAGAAAATCTGTGTGTTTGTGTGTCTGTGCACATTTCCCATAGCCATGAAAGATGAGCAGTGAAGCTCATTTTGATCTGCCAATCATCAAGATATGGTAAGGACGCTAGGAAGCAAAGCCAAGGGAGTCGGAATCAAAACAAGGGTAAATTTTGCTACATGAGAGGTCAAGCACGATGGAGGCTCCAGAACGGGGTGGAACCCGGGATGCCAGCTCGTACAACAATACGCCAAGATCATAGTTATAAAAACAAAAAATGTTGAAAAAAATCGAGCCGTCTAAAAATCACATTCTTGTATTGAAAGGCGATCATGACAACAAATCTTGTGGATCAGGTTGTTTGAATGAGAACATCACTGTGTTTTTAACTCTGACTCTTTCTCTTACAAGGGAATGGTCAGAAGTCGAAGTGGCCAATCCAAACAAGCTGCATACCATTCGATGCAGACTAGAATGCTGATTTCAAATCTGTCTTCCATATCTGCAGAGCGCCTTTGTAGGCGAAGTTTTGAGCAGTTCTATGCGAAAAAACCGTATACAAAAATTGCGAAATTAGGCACATTATTGCTCTTTCAGCTCACCTCTAGGTACGGGTTATATGAGTGATCTAGTTGCATGTTTTGGTCCAACCCTGAGCCGAGAATGGCTTTGTACGGCCAAGTTTGCACTTTACACGCACAATTTCCTAGCAAAATAATGGCCTTCAACGGCTTATAATTTCGTCCACAAAAGTGCTCTGCAAATAAGGAAGACAGATTTAGGGTCAGCGTTTTATGCTGCATTTAATGATACGCAGTTTGCTACAATTGACCACTTTGATTTCTGACCATTCCCTTGTTAGCTGAATTGCTAGAGAAAACAGTTGAGAAACGGAGAAAAGTAGGTACAACTATAGAAACATTGCTTAATCATTCTAAGCCCGATTTGATTCCACAGACATTGATTCCACTGGAACTGTAAACATTGAATTCAACAGAGATTAGATGCTTCGATGATTCTACTACTCGGACAAATCACCGGAACTTCCGCAGAGCAAGCCAAATTTGTAGAAGTTTCACAGGACTTTTTTCACTATTGCAAAAACGAAAACGTTGAAAATCGGAACTTTCGCACCACCTTCTTCAAAATCCTGCGGAAATTCCGAAAAATGCCGAGGTTCCGCAGCACTTTAGTCTGCCAGAATTTCCGCAGAATTTTGAATGTGTTGTCTATATGTTAATATATTAATATGATGTTGTCTCGCCAACAACTAGAGTACACCATCAAATGTGTCAGTCTTAGTGCAGAGGATAGTAGATGAGTCTCACAGTTAACAGAGTAAGGTTCAAATCCCTCTTCAGTGTTCTCTTTTGCTGTCATGGTTCGCATTCTTCGGAGCTTCCGCAGGACCTCATTTCGGAACTTCCGCAAGTGACCCGGCGGAACTTCCGCAAGCGCTCCGCGGAAGTTCCGGTCATTTGTCTAAGTACACAAGAAAAACACCAAAAAAACATCTATGTTAAAATAATCCCTTGAATTCTAAGCTTGTCACGAAAATATCAACTGCTCTGTGAATGTACACAATAATCTTTAATAATCTATGAACCAGTCTGATCGTCCGGCTTACGCCGGACTATCAGACCTTTTTTTGCTCAATAACTTGAATAAAATTGGTGCAAACTTTTGCAAAGGCACTTCATCGCTTTATTTTGCTCTCTACAACGTGAATTTGTTTTGAAGAACTGACAGTTTGCAATGTACTAAGAAATTTTGGAGTAATATAAAAGTAACTGCTCTCTCCCGGACTTATTGGATTTACTGACTCTTGAAAGTAATGATACCTCTTTTATGAAAATGTGGATTTCTGTTGATGTGATGCTTAAATGGTGAAGCAGAGCAAAATAAAAGCTCTTGCATACCTTTCGCGTGATACACGTACCCGTTAGTCCCTATTTTCCGAGTCTTTGACGTCAAAAAACACCATCTGCCTCCCTCATCCATCCTTTAGAAATGAAACTCACCGACTAATGTCGAGATTAATTTGCAAAGAATTAGCAAGAAGTCATGCCCAATAATTTTTGGAATAAATCGGTAATTTTGATGGAAAAAAACGTTTTAGCTCGGAAATAATCAAATTACAAATTAGTTACTGCGCATATAGACGCTTGAGGGTTGTGTTGCAGGTGCCAACTGATACGAGCTGCGTCTCTGTGCAATAATCTTCTCAGATTGTTGAAGATAACCTCGTAGGGTTGCCGATTGAAACTAACTCTTTTGGCGTCGTTCTCACATATAAAAACACTTTTGCAGCTAAATTTTGAGTCACAGAGCATGGTTTGCACATATGCGTGCCAAGCAATCTCATAACACTGAAAAGAGTGGCGATACGGATCCAACTTTGCACAACAAAAGCTAAGCGGATCGGTTCGACGCGCAATTTTTGAGGGACCCACTCATCGGATCCGCTTGTGTTTTTGCATAGAGGGTCTAGGTGTCGACGTGCGCTGGGCAAAAAATTGCGGCTTGAAACCTTTTCACTCATTCTGTGAATTTCGTTACAGACAGACAGACACACAGACACACAAAAACAGGTAAACACCCTTAGCCCGTTATTATAAGGTCTTGATATGTACATATATGTACGAATCAACGGTAAACTTGCTTCATACCCTATATGGGCAGACATCGGACACCGCCGTGCATCTCCATATCTTTACACATGATTCACACTTTTTCACGTTATTCAGTGAGAGAATTATAGACTGCTGTGCATGCTGGCAAGCTATACTCTTCAATATATATCTTCGATACGTCTTGAACTGTAAAGGACCATTGGCTCGTAGTAGCAGATACTCACACGCTTCTATACGCACCCGAAATTGCATGGTTTGAACAAGAGTACGTCTCAGCAGCAGCAACATCTAACACTTTTATATGTTTTGTATAAGTAAAACGATTACGGTGCATGTCGGAAATATACGGTACCGCTGAGCTGCACTGAGAATACGACGCATCTGCTTTTCCATATGATGGGAGCTTTTCATTCGCACAATCATCCTGGCTTACGTTGAACAAAGAATTTCGGATTTCATTCCCCATCGTCAAGTAGTTCATGACAATTATACAAAACAAAAATGCTTGAAACACATAGATTCCACATAACGTTGATGATTATAGAACTTTATGAGAGAACTTTCTGCATGCAAAGAATAATCTACAGCAGGGTTTTTCTTATGAGCAGTAAGTGATTCATTTTTTATGAAACGATCACATGAAGCCTAACTGTAAGTACACGTAAAAAGTTTCGAAAATTCATTTATTAGGTCGTTCCGAAAGTAATGTCGCTTTTTTCAAATGAATGCCACATTTCGTGGAACTAGATTTTCAAGAGCTCTTGGGATCAGTCGATGCAGAATTTCATCCTCTTTCTAATGGTTGTAATCTCATTGCATAATATTCAATGAGCTCTCAAAAAATTACTAAAACCTGCGACTTATGCTTTTTGTCATAGTCAAGTTCGGCTATTTTTCTTAATTTTTGTACTGATTCCCCGAAGATGTACAAGTAGCAGATAAATAGAGCAAACCCTATAGGATACAAAACAATTTTTTTCTTTTCCTTAGCTCGCTTCTTGGAGCTTGTAGAACCAATTTTTCAGTGCTATCAAATCCTATATTTGGTCAACTCAGACCTCACAGAACAACAACCGGCAAGCGACTCGGGTGTCATTCGATGCAGCTTTTTCTCCTCTTTCCACCAGTTTTTTCTATTTCTGATTCATTGAGTTTTCCGGGATAAAATCATCATTATTCAACTTTTCCAAGGCACCCCAAGGTGTACCCGAAATTTTCAAAAGTTGCTAATCTGAAGCGGTAAATGCTCACATGCTTTGTAAAATTAGTGTTAAACCATAATCCACCTTTGTAGGTTTCAGAATCCGAAAGTTTATTGGTGTTTGATGCATATGTGTTTGAGACAAGCCTGCAAAAATTCGGTGACTTCATTGAAAAATCTCTACAAAAATTATGACGAGATACGAAGAGCAGAAATAAATAGCACCGTTTCCTTTAGGGTTTGCTCTATCCATCCATTACTTGGACTCCTTCCGGGAATTATTACAAAAAATTAGAAAAATTGTGAAACTTGACCTTCCCAAAAAGCATGGGTTGGAGATTTTAGTAATTTTTCAAAAGCTCATCGAATATTCTGCAGTGAAATTATAGCCATTGGAAAGAGGATGAAATGCTGCATCCAATGCTACCAAAATCTCCTAGAAACGTTGCTTCCATGAAATGTAGCGTTCAGTTGAAAAAAGCGACCTAATATAAATCTCATTTGGATGAAAGATCCTCAAATATATCTGTTTTTGTGACCAAAAACTCTGTTTTTGCCGTCTCCGATATGAGCTAAATCATCTGGCATTGCCATATAACGGTATGACAGCTTTATTGAGTTTTTAGTGGTCAAGAGCTATAGAGAAATCTGTTGCTATACTCATACTGAAATTCAAACCTGCTTAGCCCAAAAAAAATTATTAATTTGGAACCGAGAATTATCTCATTATTCTAACTTCCATAGCCTGTCATTATTGTGGGAAGCAGATTTTCAATGTTTGAATATAATTTCATTATTCTTGCCATGGTTCTTTGTATTCGTCACATAAATGTTATACATATACCTATCTCGCACAACGCTGGCTATTACAAACTTATGTTCGCACAAACACCTTATTGTTAGATCGTCGTCTCTTAAATTCCTACTTACTGCTTGTTAGTGTTTATTACTAAACGATATCCAAGCAAGCAAAGCGTGAACATTTCCTTGTGGAGGAAAACGTGAGGCATTTGTTTTCAGTCAATCACGTAAATTGCAAAGTCAAGAGAATAAAGATGTCATTATGCATGTGAGAGAAGAATAAGTTAACGGCAGGTTTGGCTCTACTTGTTTATTCTGGTCATTCCTCATTTTCTAAATGAAATGGTCCTAAATGCACACCAAATCAGCAAAAATGAGATGCCTTCTGTTGACACTTTGACCGAATCAAGCTGCCAGGACAGAAATGCTCTTTTTCAATAGGGTTCCAAAAACTTTGGGAACCGCTGTCGTTCCCAGTTTCAACAGACGTGAAAAATGTCTGAAACTTCACAAGTAATCGTGTCTACCAGTCTTGATGTAAAACGCTAATGTTCACGAATGCGCGAATGACCTAATTCTTGCGAAACAGATAAGTTACCTAGTTCGCAAAAACGCAGGGGTCATGTGTGATGCACCGCCTTGCGCAGTCGTTCATTCCTTCTCGACGTGTGCCTGTGTGAATGCTTTACCATCTTAATCATCTAAGCAATCTATTTCAGAGATCTCTTTCAGTCACCATGGACTGGGTTCCTTGTTCACGTCAGGCAACATTCACAGCCACTGTGCTATCTACCGTGTCAATAATTGTGGTGATAATAGGGCTGCCAATTATGCATATGCATATTCAAAGGATCACCTCCAACATGCTGAGTGAGGTAGAGATGTGCAAGGTACGTATTCCTGGATCAACATCTACATCAATACGAAGTAAAACAGGTTTCAGGGAGAGTCGAAAGATATCTGGAAACAAATGTCGTTTTCAAAACCAGGAAATGTCATAACAAAACGACAAACTCCTTATGGTAACTATGGTGCTGTTCCAGCTGGGGCATGCTGCGCATGCACTCAAGGACCTCCAGGCCCTCGTGGTCCACCAGGGGAAGATGGAGCTCCAGGTAAATACTATTACTCAAAGGTAGCAGTCGTTCAGTTTCGTTTATCAGGAGTGGACGGATTCCCCGGGAGAGGAGGACTAAATGGACGCAATGGAAAATATCTGCCAGCGCCACCACCGGGCACAAACTCTTGCCAGAAATGCCCACCAGGACCACCTGGACCTCCAGGGCTTCCAGGTCCAAAAGGTGCCGTGAATATTACCGTGTGTGCCGATATATCAATAGCATGTAACTTTACAGGACCACGTGGAGAAATGGGAAAAGCCGGAACAGCTGGCAGACCAGGAGAGGACAACAGACCCGGTCCTCCAGGCCCACCTGGAATTCGTGGAGAACCTGGTCCACCTGGCGAAAAAGGACCAACCGGCGATAGAGGAAAAGTTCTGAATGGGGCACCTCCGGGCCCGCCGGGACCTGCAGGAAAGGTACGTTGTCCAAAGAACAGTTTTGAGAATTACATATACTGATTAAGGTTGGTCCCCGCGGTCCTCCTGGAAGCAAAGGACACGACGGAAAACCGGGATTGCCTGGAACCCAAGGAATTCGCGGAGCAGTCGGTACCCGAGGCGACGCTGGCAATCCTGGCCTGCCCGGGCCTCAAGGACCAAAAGGAGAGCCGGGATTGCCCGGATCATGCTCGCATTGTGAAAATCGTGGAGTTGAAGCTACAAAAACCACCCACACTCGTCCAAAAGGCGCTTATCAAGAAAGCCCTACCGATCGTCAAGATTTCCTATGGATTCATTGATCTGCTAACTTGACCGCAGCTATTTGCTGAAAATTTGAGTGTTTTTTTCAGTCTCATCTTTAGAAAATTGCTTGTTTTTCCATTCTCTGGATGATCAAAGAGTTGGTGCAACATGTTTTTGTCTGTAATAAATACCACAGACGGCTATGTTTTCGAGAAGTGTTTTTTGCACATAATAAAATGTATGCCGTTGATGCTTACCTTACTCATAAGAAAATTTGAAGATCACGAATTGTTACCACTTGCTGCCGACTTCTGCAGAAATAAAGGATGATTACTCAAGAGGGGAGATCTCGGCCAGACGCATTCTTTTTTCTGATGAATTGAATCGAAGCTGAGAGAATGATTATGGCACAATTAAGCGCACGGATGTTTTACTCAAAAACGGAAAGTCGTGGATTGATAGTAGAAGCTAGGGACGCTATACCTCCTGCTAAGTTCTAGAAGTTCGCTTCCAATTTTTCGTGCTACCACTATCTAAAATCCGAAATGGGCATTCGCAAACATGATAAAATTCGTCAGAGACCAAATTCTTATTCACTTATCGTGATCATTCCTAACACACTCAAAGAAATTGAGCTTCAAATCACCTTCGAAAGATGAATTCATCAGTGCAAAAAATTTCCTTTTTGCAAGTTTCATTTTGGCTAGCTATAACTTTGTCAGTCTATATAAATTCGAATGTAATAAGGTCATCAAAAGCTGCGAACTTTTTATTATTAACTTAGCGGCACCTACGCGTACTGAAATCGCAAACGGGGAGAAAACCATGCATCAAAATAACCGAGTTTTTCTTTGAGAACCTCGTTCTTGAGAGGTTACAACTCGTTACACTACACTTACACTCAACAAGTTTTGTTGTAATGTAATCGGCTGCTAATCGGCTTGTTTTGTAGAGACAAGGTAGTAATATATGTGCATATAACTAGACTTCAACGAAGGAGCTTGCTGTCGCGGATTCGCGACTTCCTTCAAAGGAGGCCGCCGCCGCGGTGCGAAGGGGTCCTGAAACGCCGTCCTCGCGCTGTCCCGCCTCTCACCTCTCTCACCTGCGCAGCTTTCGTTTAAGTCACGTAGTCAGTCTACGCTGCTGTCGCCATCGTGAGCGGTCGGGTTCCATCTTCGTCTCAATGCCATCGATCGATCCAGCGCCAATCCCACCTCACGCGTCACATCCATCTACGCCACGGAGGACTGGCACCCCGCGCTAACGAGGTAACCCCGAGCGCGATCGCACCTGGCACATGCCGGCGACACCGCCTCGGGGGGTTTTCGATACTGCCGGCCCCTAGGGTTGTAAGATCTTGGCTGGTTGTGCTCCACCCCATTGTGTTTGAGTCTAGGGATTGATTGTGGATAAATGGTGGGCATTTACTCGTGTGATATGTATTGGAGCGGTGACCACAGCTCGACTGTGGCTCCGGAGTATTGTGTTATCATTTTGTGTGTACTTCGTACTCAAGCCTAATGGGTAACATCTGCAGGAAGGCTGGCACGATGCATGCTAAGTGCCACGGTTGTGAGTACACGCCCCAGCTGTCGATGGCTGGAAGCATAGGTCGAGTCCCAAGTGACGAGTAGCTACTAAGCAGGCTGGTGGCAAGGGCCCCTAAGTGTGTACGGAGTTCCCATGTGGCAGGCCCATAGAGCAGTTACACAGGTAACCACCTCACACGTTGCGCTTCACTATTCTCACGGAGCGGACCCCTGGCTCCCCTCGCCGATGCAGGAGAGCAATTATACCACTGACGTTGGGAGCTGGGGGCCCAATCCGCGACATGGTGCATCGGACCGGAGTTGAGCATAGGGATAGCAAACCTATGTTCAGCTTTTGTGATCGAGCCTCACCTGTGTAGTCCACATGTGCACGCTTTGCACATTAGTGTCCCTAGCCAGCAGTGCAAATTTTATCACATTTCCCCATTTCACATGTTTGCGCAGTGTACACATGCTGGTTGTACCTTGTGGCTCTTTAGAGAACTCATCTTTCGTTTCATCAGCCAGCTCCGACGCGACTAGGTTGACGCGAGTACGCGACTACCCACAGTTCCACTTAGCTGAGAGTGGGGTGATCCCGCAGACCTGGTGGCAGCAGCCATCTGCGCCCTGCCCACTGTCCGGAACTGTCTGGTGCCTTCTGGTGGCCAGGTTTCTCTGCAGCCATTGAGATGGTTCGGCTCTGTCTGCCCTGAAACACGCCATCAGGCCGACGAACGAGCCCTGTATGTTATGTCTGATGAGAGTCTCGCCCCTAAATTCATTTCTTTCCCACATGCTCGCATTGCGCACTCATTCCTCTTTCCCTCCTTTTTTGCAATTTGTGGCTAGGCTTAGTCAGTGACGGTTCCTTGCGATCGATACTGCTTTCGTCATCGGTACTCATGCCCCATACTAATCCCCCGGAGTTTCAGTTGTTGCTTGTTGTTCATCGTTTCACGCATTTCGCTCGTGTATTATGTTCACCATTTGTGTGGCTACGTCCGGAAGTAGTCACACCCCCATCGAACACATTTATGGAGTACAATTTCAGACTTTGGGTTCGCAGTTACTACCTCCTGCAAGCTACCGAGTTAGCGCACTGTCGATCGATATGACAACCGTAGAATCCTACATCCCCAAGGTCGTCAAAGCCATCGACGACCTTGAAGCGACTAGGAGACAGGTAAGTCCCGACTTGCTTACCCCGTATGTGTCTGACGCCCCAGTTGCGGAGCAGCTCCACCAGCTCCAGCTTCGTCAGGCAGCCACACAGCTTCACATAGTGAGTCTGAGATCCGCACTTTCGCTTCTGCGTGATCGTCGTGACGTACTCCTATACCACATTACTACCTCCAGTTCGCCGACAGATCAGCAGGCGTACAGCAGGTTCGAGGAAGAGCACAGCGTGGATCAACATCTGGCAGACGCTGAAGCACTCCTCCGCACCTTGCAGAGTACGCAGGAAGCGGATAGTGAACGCTCTGAGTCTCTTCGTATCCATCGACTCGCTAATTCCATCAGTGAGGATGCTGTTACGGGGACGACAGGAACAGTGACGACGCCCCAGCGACAAGATCGCACAGACGCCCCACAGCTTCAAGCTGTAGATACCCAGTTGGACGTTGCACAGCAGCTGGAACATCTTCAGCTTACATCCGCACAAACTGCCCCATCGTCGCACAACGTACCGATCCATTTGGAGAAGTTAACGTTGCCGCATTTCGATGGAGATGTCACCAAGTTCCAGCAGTTTTGGTGCACGTTTGAGCTAGCTGTTCACAACGACCCCAACATCGACCTCAATATGAAATATCTCTACCTCATGAATTTGCTTAGGGGAGAAGCCCAAGTGGTGTTGCAGGATCTTGAACCAGGACGGAACAATTACCATCACTTAGTGCAAGCATTGAAGAAGCGATACGACTGCCCGAGGAGGACCAGAGCGCTGTTTCATCAGCAGCTCCGAGATCTTCAGCCCGCAACCGAATCAGCTTCGGATATGCGAAACACTTGGTTCCGGATTCAGGGAATTCTTCATGCCCTTACGCGTTTCGAGGATCTGAATCGTGCTCTTTATATCATCGATCTCGTACGCACTAAGTTCCCCCTGTCAATCCAGGAGCGGCTTAACAACGTCGAGTTCGAGAAACGAGCCGATTTTGATCTTCGACAAGTCATGTCTCACCTCGATGACCTTATTCAGTCAAAGGAGAGGTTTGAGCAGACTTGCTCCCGCAGTCGTACGTACGTTCTCAATAGAGATATTTCCCCAGGACGTCCATTAACGTCTACATCCCCCAGATCATTGCATGATCCCGCATGTTGCTTTTGTGATTCCCTTTCGCACTCTTCTCGCAGTTGCGACGAGCGTATGCCAGTTGGTGTGCGTCTTAAGATCGCACATCTTCTGCGACTATGCTTGAAGTGTCTTCGAGAAGGACATTCCCAAGGCGATTGCGACTATCCATCTTGCAAGGAGTGTGGAGGTCAACACCATCGACTTCTCTGTAGGCTCGCGGAAGAGGAGGATTGTACCCGAGAACGTCAGTCGTCTAGCTCATCTAGTTCGTCTGATTCGTCATCGGAGAGGCAGCCAGCTGCGGAAGGAGACGATCAACCTGGAGAATCCTCGGATTTTAAAGATCCAGCACGGGATAGCAGAAGATCCCGAGACTATTCTCGTGATCATCACTATCATCCGCGCGAACATAGAGGATATCGCAGCAGACTGGATGCTACCCCACGATCGGATACACAATCCCCATCTCGACCCGTACGTTCCGTACCAGTCAGAGAATCCCCACATGTTTCTCCTTCGCCCACGCGTCGTAGAACACCATCGCCACAGATTCCATCTCCCACGGGAACGTCCAGACGTCGACGCCACCGAAGACGCTATAGGGATCCGAAGTGGGTGCGTAGAATTGCCCGTACCCCAAGCAACCCACCCCATTGATACCTCGCAGGCCTACTGCCGTTCCGCAGCAGCTTCGTTCTGCCCACAGACATCCACTCACACTTTGCGTTATCACATTTATATTATATCTGTTTACTTTCAGCAGCCTCCTTCTCTTTCGTGGTCACGGACGTTCGAAGCTGTATTTAGGCCGGCCAGTTACATCTTGTTGCTTCGTCGCCCCTCATCCCGAGGATTGGTCCCCATGGTCCACTCTTGAACTGAGCTAGCAAGTTCGAGGAAGGAGAATGGAGCATAAGAGCGAGCTCCCGCAGGTAAGTTTGAAAGTTTACACCCCAATTTACGATTCTTTTTTACTTCTTTATTTCTTTTTTATTTCCTTTATTTCCTTTGGGTAAGAGCCTTAAGCTCGCCCTTCGTCGTTGTTGTTAACCTTGATTCAGGATCGGCAGCAATGATCCCCATTATACGTTGACACATGTGACTATAGCCGCAACTCACGACTTTTGGGGTCACGGTGGGAGACCGTGTTAACTTTTTGGTTTTTGGGATTTCCCCTTCTTTTGCAACTTTGACTTGGCCCTGGGTTCTTGTGTATAGTGAGGAAAATCTCCCCCTCACAAAAATTTATTCCCCTGGCGTGAA